GGCTCCTGCCTACCTGGATGCTCGGGAATGTCCTGTTCGGTTCCAAGAGTGGCAGGAGTGGGATTCTGGGGCAGGAGGGGCTAGGTCCCCAGGCTTGGCTGGGAGGAAGCTGGGATTGTGTGCTGTTCCCTGCCTTCAGGCCCCTGGACCTTGCTCCACCTGGGAAAGGATACGTTCCAGGGGCTCTCGGTATCAGTCTTGATTTGGATTCTTTGAAAGCCAAGAAGTTCTTCCCTGTATCTGACCTGAGTCTTCCCTGCTCTATGTTTCAACTCAAAGCAATTGCTTGGTTTTCACGTCTTTTTTCTTTTTTTTCCAAGTCGCAAAACACGTTACCCAAACCACATCTTACACAAGACCCAAATCTATAAGCCTGCTTGCGGAGCTGCTATGTGTGGCTGAGGGTGGGGCTGGCCTCCTGCACTGCCAGGCTCAGCCCCCTCTGCATGTAAAGCCCTGGGGCATTCCGGGCACAGTCTGAAAAACGCTGGTGGACTCAGCGATCAATATGCCCCTCTGTGGGCTCAGTCCTGTGTGGAGCAAGACGGTGGAGACCCCCGAGGAAAGCAGACGGGAGGTCTGCCTGCAGGGAGCTGCTGGTCCGGTGGGCAAGGCCACCACGCGAGGCAGGATACAAGGACAAAGAGCAGGGAGGCTTCGCCCCCACCTGCTAAGGACTTGGTGTGGTTTCGCCCCCACCTGCTAAGGACTTGGTGTGTGACGCTGAGAAAGTAGCTACCCCTCTCTGGGCCCCAGTTTCCCTGTGAACCATGGGGAGACGGGTCTGGGGTGCAGAGCCTCTGCAGTAAGGTCTGGGACGGGAGGCAGCCTCACTGACCCAGCGCGTGGCTAAAGCCGCGAGAGAGACCCACACCCACGACGTGGGTAGGTGCAAGCGGGGGCGGAGGCCTGGCTAAGGTGCCTCAGGGCCGGCACAGCTGGCTTGTCTGCAGGCTGGGAGTGGCTGGAGGGTGGGCAGGAGCTGAGCGGGAGGAAGGAAGGGTCAACAGATAGGCACTGTCTGGAGCTCGGGGAGCCGTGCCACCAGGCCAACTCGATGGCAGCCCTCAGTGCCGCTGCCCTACATCTAGGACGAACGTGGCTTCATTTGCTACCCCAGCTGTCGAAGGGGGTGGGGGACTTTCCTGAAGAGGATTTGCTTCTGCTGTGACAAAGGAGGGAGGGTCGGAGAGGTGGGGCATGGGGACACAGGAGCAGAGTTCTGGGGTCCTCGGGGAGCTGTCTTGCCCCTGAAGACCTGTCTCTCTCCCCTGCTGCGGGGGCCTGGGCCCACTGGTGGGTGATTGCCCACCTAGCCCCAGCCGGGCTGTTGTTGAGGGGAGTGACAACACTGGCCTGTGGGCCTGGAGAGGGACCCGAGATGTCTCTGGAGGTGAGGGCCCAATTAGAAGACAGCTCCACCCTCTTCCCGGTTTGGAATGATGCGCCCTTCTGAGAAGCGAGAGAGCTAGGCGCCTCTACCCCAGAGAGACTCCAAGTACGAAATTGTTCATACAAACTCAGTTTGTTCCAAAATCACTCATCTACATTCAGTAATAATGATAACATGGTACTTTTGAAACCCACCCGAAGCTTGCACCTGGAGAAAGAGTCTTAACTCTAGAAAGCTCTACAGAACTGGGCACATGCTGGGGCAGGGGGCATGTTGGGGGCCAGCGGGGAGCTGGGTGGGGTCCGGAGTTGGGGGAGAGGTTATGAAGGAGCAGAGGGACCAGGAGGGGAGCAGGCTCAAGTCTGAAGGCTGTTACTGAACAGGAGCCCCAGAACAGCCAGGTAGCCCCTGCCCCCATCCTGCCCTCACCTCCTTATCCTGGGCCCCACCCAGCCCAGGTCTGCGAGCGCGGCCGGCTGTGGACAGAGCTGTTCATACTCGTGTGCACACACCCACATCTGTGTGTGCCAGTGAGTGTGTACGTCAGGCCTATTTCCACCTCCCCCTCCCCTGCCTGCCCCCTCCTGGGCAGCACGCCCAGTTCCCAGAAGCAGCCTATACACTTCCACTGAGAGCTCCACGCACAGCCCGCTCCCCTCCTGCCATCACCGCCCGCCTGGCCCACCTGGCAGCCCCCTCCACAGCCCCCAGGCGGACAGCACTGAAAGACCCTCCTTGTCCTGCCCCGGAGGGCAGGCGGACCTCGGGTGGGGGCTGGCTCAGTTATACTTGGTACTTGAACAACTTTTCCAGAGCCTGGGTGGGCCAGGCCAAGGGCCTGGCCTCTGCCCTGCCCCAGAGGCCCCGGGGCAGTGCGCACGCACACAAACACACACGGCTCCAGCACCATTGTTCCCCAGAGGATCCCTAGAGGCAGAAGAACCTACTCCGACTCAACTCCTTGCACTTGATGGCTCCATGGTCCTGTTCTCTAAGACACCCCGTCAGGTCAGAGTCCTCACCTGGGTAATGCAGGAGCCCTCCCTTCGGGGTACTCCTGCCCCACCCTCAGTCCTACTTCAACCACCCACCTTCAGCTGGTGCCAGGCCAGGTAAGAGGTATGGGAGCCACTGGCCCTGCAGGCTCTGTGCTCACTCTGACCTCTCAGTTTTACTCATGCTGTTCCCCTGACTGGAATGCCAAGTCCACATCAGCTCAAACCCAGTCTCCCCCACTGCTCGTCCCTCTGCCGAACACCTCCCACAGGGCTCAGAAGGAGCTAGACCCTGCACTGGCAGAGTGGCCCTAGCCTAAGCTCCCACACAGGCGGGGCGCTCCCTCAAAGCAGGGCTGGGGGCTCTTCCTGCGCTGCTGCGATTCTCTGTGGGACCTAGAGCACTTTGCTTCCTCCCTGGGGTCTCAGTTTCCCAGTCTGTACAACTAGAAGCTTGGCCCAGATGGTCTCCAAGGGTGCTTGACTCCCAGGCCTCATGACCTAGATGCCCCGGAATGTTGATGAATGCAGGGAAAGTGTCCCAGGGCACCTCACTCTGGTACCTGAGACCTCGAGGGCCTTTGGGGCTCAGGGTGTCCAGGAGGGATGGGAATGATGCCTTCCTCAGGTATGGGCTGACCCCATGCAGAGACCAGGAGAGGGTGCTGAGCCAGGCTTGGTGACAGAGATGGATTGTTGAAGGGGAACTCTGCCTGGGAGGGGGAGAAGATTCTAGCTCTCCATCCCCCTCCCATTTCCAAATTCTTCCTATAGGCAGAGATTGGCTTAACATTATAAAACCCCTCTGCTGCCATGCTACGCTCCTGCCTTAAAATGTCCGTTGGCTCCCCATTGCCAACAGGGCATAGGCTGTGGGCTGTATTCTGCCATTTAAGGATTCTGTGCCCCAGCCCAATGGCTCTTCCTGGCCGGTGCTCAAAATATGCCTTCTAACCAGGCTGCTGGTCTTCCTGTCTCAACATGCTCTTCTCACATCCACCTCAGTGCCTTTGCTCAGGCTGAGCTCCTGCCTAGAGTACTGACCCTCTTCCCATCCTCCAAAGCTTGGCTCCAGGATCACCTCTGGCCTGCCCCAGCTTGCCTGGCAATTTCTCTTCACCATACTCTTCATCTGGATCTTTGCAGACATGATAGGAATTGCTGTTTGAGTTTTAATTTACTTTTCTGCCTCCTGAATGAGTTCAAGTTCAGCCCATCCATTTCTGTGTACTCCTCATTGCCCAGCACAATGCTTGCACACTGTTGATGCTGAGAAGGTATTTGAGAATGGCTCTCAGTCAAAGCCCAAGGAGATGGGGGTGCTGGACACTCTTGGCTGGAGGCTTCAGGCTGGATAAGCAGCCCACTCCAGTCACCCCAGATGGCCCTTTCACACCTCTCCAGAGGCCCAGCCCATCACCCGGGCCCTGAGACTTTGAAGGAGGGGGTCCCTGGGAATAGGAGCAGGGAGCCTGGGGATCCAGCTCTGACTCACCCCAGTGGGGGGTCCTCCCCTGACTCATTTCCCTCTGGGTGCCTCGTGATGCTGTCCATTAGAGCTGGCTTCCCCACCTGATGGAGAGGAGGGTGTGGCCTGGGCCCCCGGAAGGGAGAATCAGGCTCTTCCTCTGCTCAGAGCTGCTCTTGGGAATCGTCCCGAAAGATGTAGGCTGAAGCACTGATTCATACATGGGTAGTAATGATTGATGGGCCCTGAGGCCATGGTTCTTATGGCATAACTAGACCATGCCTTGACTCAAGGAAGAATGCCGTCATGGCGGGATTTCTGGCATGTAACAGAGAGGAGATGCATCCTAGTGCCCCTCAGAAGGTGAACTGTCACTCAGTCTCTGCTGGGGTCAAGCAGCAAAGCCCGGGACAGGGAAGTGTGGCAGGGTTGCCCAGGGTTGTCTGAGGGGCAGGCCCCTGCGGGGGTGTGGCATATCTGAAGGAGTGAGGAGCGGGTGGTCCCATCTGTCACTACCAGGCCTTCTGAGTTAGGAGAGTGGGGTGAGGGCATAGGAGCTAGAGAGGAAGGCGGGAGGAAGGTGGTGGTGAGGAGGCCGTACAAGTTTACCTGGGGGCAAGGAAGGGGGAGGCTAGAGGAGGCTGCAGGCTGTAGAGGCTGAGGTACATGTGCGGCCCCATACAGGGTGGGGCAGGGCGGCTCCCTCCCCATTTCTCGCCTTGCAGCGCACGCCCCATTCCTGGCCCGGGCGGCTGAGGCTGGGGTACTGGCTTCCTGCTGTCATGGAGTGTCCTTTGGGACCAGAGCAGTCACCAAAAGTCTGCTGGGCTCAGGGGGCCCAGACAGCATTGGGTGGCCCCACTGGTTTAGCAGACAGTCCTGCACAAAGCCACACCCTAGACAATCGGACTGGGGCCAACCTCAACTAGCCAGAGCCCACAGAAGCCCCAAGCTGGAGAGCTATCACTGGGGATCCTGCTTCGATCCCAGAGTGGAACTCCCAGAGAGCCCAGCCTGGAGCAGAAGTGCCGCCCCCTTGTCTCCCAGTCTGCGGGTGACTTCTGGGCCCTCCTGTCCCATTTTTCTACCCAAGGAGCCCCCCCACAGCTCCGGCCAGGCCGGTGGTCTCAGGCCCCTTACTCACCTGCGGATGAGAGTCTGGCCAACATAGCCAAGGTCAAAGCCAGGGCCAGGGCAGGGGCCGGAGGCACGGGCTGCTGGCCCGAGCACATCGCGGTGGGCTGTGCAGTGGGATTTTCAAGGAGCCAAGCAGAGTCCGGAGCCTGGACACCAGAGGAAAGGCGGGAGCTGAGAGAAGCCTGGAAGGCTGGCTCAACTGCCTCTGACTGGGGCTCTGGAGCCGCCTTACTTAGCTTTGGGGGCGGGGCAGGCGCCAGCCCGCTCCAGTTTCAGGACAGGCTCCCCCGTTGGCCCCCCTCACCCCCAACTTTCTTAAAGGGCCCGTGCTGGGCTGCTCCTCCCTGTGCAGGGCTGAGGAGACCCTTACAGCTCCGTTAGATCCAGGCCCCGCCCTGCAGATTTGGGACAAAGTCCCAGAGGAGCCTAGACCCCCAGAGCTTTGACCCAAGGGCTCCAGGAGACCTCCTCTGGGAGGAGACCTGAGCTGGGCTAGCCCCCTCACTTCTCTTTCTCCTGCCCTTGCAAGGATTGGTGTGTGTGTGTGTGTCTGTGTGTGTGTGTGTCTGTCTGTGTGTGTGTCTCTGTGTGTGTGTGTCTGTGTGTGTGTGTGTGTGTGTGTGTGCATAAGCTCCAGGCCTAGGAGGACAGGCGCCTACCCAGATTGCTTTTGGGCTGCTTTCCTCTCAGGTCTCCTCGGGACTCCATTTGGACAGAGAGACCCTGGCCTGAGGTTCTGCTCTGTGTCCCCTGGCATTGTGACCTTGGCCTTCTCTACCCTGCACAGCCTCCGTTTTCCAGTCTATAAAGGAGAGATGTTCTAGACTCTCCCACAAGGCAGTATCATTTGCCTCAAAATAACTCTACAAGGTGGGTGAGAACCACTCCCTCCCTCCCCCCACCCCATTTTATGGAAGAGAAAACTGGCTCAGAACCGGAAGTGGTTCTTACAAGGCCCTAGGTGGAGCGTAGGTCCCTGGCCCTTTGGGACAAGGACCCCAGGCCTCCTAAATCCTGAATCTGGGTGTTTCAACTTCCTAGGGCTGCCTCCTGGAAATCCGGCCCTGCACTAACTGCTACCTAACAGCTTCAGGCTGCAGTCCTGCTCCTCTTGACTGCTGAGGCAGCAACATCAGCCTCACCCCAAACAGGAGGGAGGGCACTACTACCACAGAACTTCCAGCTCGTAGAGGCTCTGCCTGCTCTGTGCCTAGCCCCAGTATCGGCACTGCCTGGCCTCGGCTTCTCCACCCAGCAAATGGGTAGAAGATCACCCCACAGGGCTCTTCCCCTCCCTTCTTTCCTCAGAATCCCTCTTTCGGGGCGCCTGGGTGGCTCAGTCGTTAAGCATCTGCCTTCGGCTCAGGTCATGGTCCCCGGGTCCTGGGATCGAGCTCCCTGCTCGGTGGGGAGTCTGCTTCTCCCTCTCCCAGCTCATGCTCTCTCTCAAATAAATAAATAAAATCTTAAAAAAAATAAAAGAAACCCTCTTGCATACCTGCCTGTTTCGGCCCACCCCCAACCCCACCCCATCAGCACTCTCTTCCCAGACCCCCCTCACTTTAAATTTTTTTATAATTAATTACAGTGTAATATTAGTTTCAGGTGTACAATCTAGTGAGGCAACACTTCGATACACAGCTGGTGCTCATCACAGCACACACGCTCCTTAAAACCCAACACCTGTTTAACTCATTCCCCACCCACCTCCTCGCTGGTGACCTTCAGTTTGTTCTCTACAGTTAAGAGTCTATTTCTTGGTTTGCCTTTCTCTCTTTCCCTTTGCTCATTTGTTTCTTAAATTCCACATACGAATGAAATCATATGGTATTTGTCTTTCTCTGACTGATTTCGTTTAGCATAATACCCTCTAGCTCCATCCATGTTGTTCCTTTTCATGGCTGAGTATTATTCCACTGTATGTATATACCACATCTTCTTTATCCACTCATCAGTCAATGGGCATCCAGGCTGCCTCCATATCTTGCAGCTACAATGCAGCAGTAAACACTGTGTTCTGCTGGGCGGTGCATGTATCCTTTTGAATTTATGTTTCTGTTTTCTTCTTTCTGGCAGTGGAAAGACTGGATCTCAGAGATTCTGTGGTTCTGCACAGCTGAATACCTAGAAGTGGAAATACTGAATCATATGATACCTCTATTTCGAGTTTTTTGAGGAGACCACATTGTTTTCCAGAGCATTCAGGCCCTTTCCTTGACTAGCGACTATCCCACCATGTGTACAACACTTCATAGTTGGCCACAAAATTGAGCCCCATTTTGCAGATGAAGAAACTGAGGCTGAGAAAGATCGAGGGCCTTGAACAAGTCTACACAGCCGCGAAGAGGTGGAACGAGGTCTTTGCCCGCAAGCCTGGTGCTCTTACCACACAGCACAATGTGCTGGTGCCGTGTCTGTGTGCTGGTTGTGAGTGCTGATCTTGAACCCAGGCCCTGAGTTCGAATCCCAGCTCTCCTACTTGGCTGTCCAACTTTGCCAGTTTTCTCATTTGTGGAACTGGGTTAGTGACGATTAAATGCATTCATGCACCTCCCGTGCCTAGCCCGGGGGCTAGCATGCAGCAGGCGCTCCACAGACACTTGTTTCTTCCTTCTCGGTAGCCCTCACATGCTCCTGCTCTTCACAGTTTGTACACAGCTCCACACTCATCACCTCCCCTGATGAAAAGTCAGCCCCTTGAGGGCTGAACTTTCCCTGCCAGAGGCAGCTGCGTACAATAGGTGCTCAATAAATGTGCACTGACGTTGACTAAGAAGCCAGTGCTGCTGTTATGTGGGGACTTTGGCAAACGGAAGAATTCGCATCTGGTTCACCCTAGGAGGCCTGGGGCGGGGCTGTGGTCGGCTGGTCTCCAGTGGCAATGAAGCCATTGATTCCACAACTTGTCCCTGTCCCCACCCCCAGTCAGCAAGGCACCTGGTCCTTGTTAGGGGTTAATTACTGGCCAAATGTGGGCTTAGGGTTGGGGGTGCTGCTGGGAACACTGTGTTTGGAGGAAAAGAGCTTCCTTTTTAGGAATGAAAGAAGAAGAGACGGCTTCTGCTTCTTGATGAATCAAAAACTTGGGTGGAGATTTCTACCCACCCCATCGCCCTCCCCTCCCTTCTCCTCCTTCCCTCTTCTCATCTTCTCTCTCCCCAGTCCACGCCCCTCCCCCACGCAGATTTACTCACCACGGCCAGGAGTGGTTTGTCTGTGGAGCCTCCGGACGGGGTGCCCGCCCCTAGCCCGCAGCGGAGGTTCCAGTCGGGACTAGCCCGCAGCACCCCTAGGCCCGCTGCTATAGCTAGGGAGGGAAACATGGGCCGGGTGAATAGTGGCAACCAGGCAGCAGTCGTGACCCGTGCTTGCTTCTCTGCTGGGGCTTGGCTTTGCAGTTTACAAAACCCTCACCTGGTCTCTTGACAACCCTGGGAGTTGTGCGTGTTGGGGGCTAGGCTTCCCTTTGCACTGATGAGAATGCTGAGGCCCCCGTGCACATGGGTGCTGGGGCTCCGGCGTATGCAGGTTGGCCTTTGTCCAGCCTGTACCCGGGGCCGGAACCCGGGTCATGCTGAGCGACGTCATGCCAGCGGACCGGCAGAAAGTTGAGGCCCCATGTGGCTTTGGAGCCGCTCCCTGCCCACCTCCTACTGTCTCAAGAGCAAAGGTGGTTGGACCCGGCAGTGCCTGCTCCGAATTTGTCTCCTCCCCGGCCTCCTCAGCATGCCCACCTGAGCCCCCGAAGGCCGGGTCCCGAGCAGAGCGGACCAGGGCCTCCCTGGCATCCTCCCTGGCTCAGGCCTTCTCCCTCTGCCTTCCAACCTTTGCCATGAAGTCCTCTGGCTTGGGCTGGCCAGCTGCCCTTGGTGGCCATCCCTGACTGCCCCTGCCTCCCTGGCCATATCTCACACTCCTCCAGGAAGCCCTCCCAGTCCTTCCTGCTTTTCCACAGACTCCCTGGAATAATGATCCCTGAATACTCCTAGTGCCTCCCAGGGCAAGCCTACCCGGGTCAGGAGGTGTGACTCAATGTCTCCCCCTGCCCCTTGACTAACTCCTTCTCAGCAAAGCATGGGGATAGCACTCGGGGCAGGGGAGAGGGAAACTCAATACACATGAAGGATGAAGAAGGATGCCCACAACTCAGCTGGAGGATTCAGAGTGTTCTGAAGCTTCAGGGACCTGTGGTATGTGCTGCCTCAGTTTCTCTAAGTGATCGGCCTCTGCGAGAACAAGACAACAGCAAACCCAGCATCACCCGCGTGCCTGCCAGCAGAGTTCAGCTACGATGCGCCAGGCACTCCTGGTCACTCTTACCCTCCACGCTTCCCAGACTCAGTGCCGGCTCTGGCAGCAGCTACAGCTCGGTCCTGCCCCTGGCCAATGCCAGGCCCTCTGGGTGCCTCTGTGTTTTGCACTCTGACCACATGGGCTCCACCCAGGGAACCCGTGGCCAGAGCCAGCTTGCTGGTAAGTGGCGGGTGCTTCTGCCCAAGATGGGGTGCTGTCTGCATTGGGGTGTACTCCAGCTGCCCAGGTCCTGCCCTTAGGGAATTGGCCTTCTGCCGTGAAGGACACAGAACCCGGGCCGCTACTGTGCAAGAGGACACAGGTTTTTGGCCCCAGTTCCATGGCCCTGTAGTCTCATGGCCAGGGGCTCCCAGGCCTGGGCTTCCAACCAGCGGCCTCTGCTAGGAGTGGTCTTGCTTCTGTTCCCGGCTGGAGGCGTCCGCGGGGCTCCTGTAAGTGCAGGCAGCCAGGCCCAGGCAGGGCGGAGGCAGCCATTCCCAACAATTACACAATTCGGGAGCTGAAAAGTTGTGTTTGCTGTCCCCAGGAGCCAGCTCTGGATGGGAGGCTAGTGGCGGGGCTTGGCGCTGATCGGGAGCAGGAGCGGGCTCTGCGCCATGCCCAAGCCAGATCGGGGAGACAGGGCTGAGCGGTGGTGTAGGACCCCCTCAGTCTCCAGTCCCTGGGGCAGGCCACACCATGTCCACAAAAGCCTGTGGCTTCAGTGGCTATGAGCAGGTGGCCGCAGCTGATGCCCCTGGGGTTGTGCTATTTCTAAATATTGGTTCATGCTATTAACCCC